GACCCTCTACTTTACCAAGCATGATGTCCTTCTCCAGGGACTGATCCCTCCTGATAACATGTCCAAAGTATGTGAGATGTAGTCTCACCATTCTTGCTTCTAAGGCGCATTCTGGCTGTATTTCTTCCAAGACAGATTTGTTCATTCTTTTGGCAGTCTATGGTATATTCAATATTCTTTGCCAACTCTACAATTCAAGGGCGTCAATTCTTCTTCCGTCATCCTTATTCATTGTCCAGCTTTCACATGCATATGAGGCTACTGCAAACACCTTGGCTTGGGTCAGGCACACCTCAGTCTCAAGGTGACATCTTTGCTTTTAACACTTTAAAAAGGTCTTTTGCAGAAAATTTGCCCAATGCAATATGTCACTTGACTTCTTGACTGCTGGGTCATATAGTGTGTGTTTAACTTTATAAGAAAATGCCAAACTGTTTTCCAAGGAGCATTTACCATTTTTCATTTCCCATCAGAAATTTATGGGTTTCAATTGCTCCACATCCTTTTCAACACTTGGTATTGTTAGTATTTTTAATTTATCCACTTTAGTGGGTATGTAGTGATTTTAATTTGTACTTGTCTGATGACTAACTTTATTCAGCATCTTTTCATGTGCCATTTATGTATCTTCATATATTTTCTTTTTGAAATTTTTTCTGTTCAAATATTTTTCTTACTTTTAAAGTGGGTTGTTTGTCTTTTTATTATTTCATTTTAAGAGCTCTTTATATATAGTGGATACAAGTCCTTTGTCAGATATGTTTTACAAATATTTTCTTCCAGAGTGTAACTTGCCTTTTCATTTCATTAATGGTATCTTTTGAAGAGCAGAAGTTTTTAATTCTGATAAAGTCCAATTTATCAAAAAAATTTGATGGTTAGTTTTTTTGTGTCTAAGAAATTTTTGCCTAGCCCAAAATTATGAAGATTTTGTCCTATGTTTTGTTCTAAAAGTTTTATAGTTTTAGCTTTTACATTTAGGCCTACGATCCATTTCAAGTTAACTTTTGTGTATGGTGTGAAGTAAGTAAAGATCGTGGTTCATTTTTCTTCTGTGTGGATATTTAGTTGTTCTAATAGCATTAAAGACTATCCCTTATGCATTGACTTACCTGGCATTTTAATCATATATGATGGGTCTATTCTGGATTCTCTATTCTGTTCCATCGATTTATATGTCTACACTGACAGCAATACCACACCGCATTGGTTATTTGTGATAAATCTTGCAATCAGTTAGTTGTCCAACTTCGTTCTTATTTTTTAAGAAAAAGGGGAGGAGATTTCTGTGAGAGTTTCAGCAATGCCGAATGACATAAAGCAGTCAAATAGTAGGGAACTGAGGCAAGCCCACTGGATTTCATAGTTAAGGTGGGTGACCATATAAGTGGTCTCAGTGGAGATGGGGTAGTGGTGTTCACCCAAATGCATGAATTCACTCTTGTGATTAAACCCACCCCCTCACATAACAGAGTGGCTTCACTCTTCACAGGCCCACCGTTCTTGAGTACAGAACAACCCACCCATTAAGGAAGAACTAATACCCACGCGGTAATGAAAAACTCCTTTTCATCATGAGTCTCTCATGCTCTAGCTATTGGTGATGTTGATGACGAATGAGTGGGTCAGACAAAACACTATCCCCTCTGCCCAATCACCTGCACCTTCATAAAAAACTTAGAACACTAGTAACTTTAAAGGCTAGCACGTTGCTTGGTAGCTACTCTAAGGATCTATGGTTGTATTGTAGCTACCCCACAAATCCAGAATCACAGGATTTAAAAATGGTTAAGAAAAGAATATCTTAATAAACCTTTTCATTTTAAAGATTAAAATAAAAAAAAAAGAAACCCAAAGACTTTTTTATTATTCTAAGACTTTATATTTCCACATACATTTTTGAATCAGTGAGTCAATTCCTACAAACATACTTGTTGGAATATTAATTCAGATTGTATTGAATCTATAGACATTTTAGGGAGAATTAACCTCTTAAAGATACTGAGTTTTCCAGTTCATGAACATGGATATCTCTTCATTTATTTAGGTCTTCTTTAAATTTTTCAGAAATGTTTTCTGTGTTCAGGTTTTGCACGTTTTGTTAAATTTATCCCTAAATATTTCATGTTATTTCAGGCAACTGTAAATGGTATTTATTTTCAAATTTCAATTTCCAAATATTTATGGCTAGTGTGTAGAAACACAATTGACTTTTATGTAGTGACCTTATCAAATGCATTTAAAATTCTAGTAGCTTTTTTTATGTAAATTCTTCAGATTTTCTACATACATGATCATGTTGTCTGTAAATTAAGACCTTTTAGTTTATCATTCGTCTTTATGCTTTTACTTTTGTAGTAAATACAAACTACCTGACCTTTCTCTGTACTCATCTTTGAGATCCTAGAATTTCTTTGGTTTTCATAAACTACTTTATGAACCTTTAAGAAACTGCTGTGTTATCAATTCCAAGGTATTTTTTTTTAATTGTTGTAAAAACATATAGAACACAAATTTGCCAATTCAACATTTTTCAGGTTTACAATTTAGTTATATCAGTTACATTACTCACATTGGGTAACCATCACCATAAACAGAAAAATTCCAAGGTATTTTAAAACTTAAAACAGGCGTTTTAGAGTTAAGCTGTCAAAAATTTCTTAGGCCTGTTATTTAGCACAATGAATTGTGATTTTTTGTTTTCCCATCTATTTGTTCTACCTGACCACTATCTCCATACATTTATCATCTTTGTATCCTTGGAGCCTAACAGTGCCTGACACTCCAAAGTTGCTCAATTAATATTTATTGAATGAAAGAATGATATAACTAAGACCCATGTGAACTGGCCTCAGCCATAGCCTAAAGAATTTGGTAAGCAGTGGGTCTACCCAGGCCTCGGCATTTTCATTCAAATTACATCATCTACTGGCATGATCCCCTGACTGGCCTTGCACTATGCTGTCATCCATTAGGTGGACATTTCTGCAACTCATTTTTTAATTGATTTTAAAAACTAGTTTCAACTATGATATAGTTATGATCCAGTCACTGGGCTCATTAAAGCTTTTTGTGCATTTTTCCCATTTGAAAGCAACATTTGGTCACATTTTCTTCATTCCTCCTCCAAATACTTGAGTTGGGGAATGTTGGATAGTCATTTAGATGTTCTTGGAACCCATAGCTCTTTTTGACCCTAAACACAGTTCTAAATTGATGGTGCTGATGAACTAGAAACACAAGGATCTCTGCTTTCACGACTGCCAGAGGCATGGGTACAGAGGGGTTTTCCAGCACTTAGTTCCATTTCATCTGGCTCAAAGCCAGCTTTCTAAAAATATCTGTGGCTAAAGCTTCCCTTCCTGTTAAAACTGATAAGGTGTTTTTAAAGGCCATTAATGGGTTTATCGCACAAGGCCACCAGATGGATCTATTCTTCCATTACAGAGGAGAATTCCCACTGTGAGATGGCCCTTCTGCTATAACCAATCATCTGGTTTTCCCACTAGTGATTGTAGACAAAGGCCCAGTAACACTGCCATTTCAATACTCTAAAAACCTCCATTGCTTGCTACAGGAAGCCAAATTTTTATTTAGAGTTCTCTTGCCCCAATGTTTCTGAGAATCCCCAGGGGTCATTATATGTGTCTAAATATCAGTCCTGATTGTCACTTGTTGGTGCTGGTGCTAAGCTATAGCTCTGTATCCTCAGACCAAACAGGTTTGTCTCTCTCTACACTCCAGTGTTACAGCTATTTTCACGGTGAAGATGAAAGTGAGCGTGACCTTAGAAAGAGGATGCCTGTTTTTGGTGTTTCTTTTAGGGGTTGTTGCTGTTAGGTGCAGTCTAGTCGATTTCAACTCATAGTGACCCCATGTGACAGAGTAGAACTGCGCCATAGGCTTTTCTTGGCTGTAATCTTTATGGGAGCTGCAGCTGAGCGCTTAACCATTTGTGCCACCAGGGCTCCTTTCTCTTAGGAGTAGAGGTGTCCCAAATCAAGGTTATTTGAGTCCTAAAGTGTTACAGAAATTAGTGATAAGGGTGAATTTTATTGCTTAGTTTTTATTAGTTATTAGTTCTCTCAAGAATTATCAGATTTTTTGGAAAGAGGGGACTAAATTGACATATAGATAAACTTTCCTAATGCTACATTTTTTATAACCATCGTTTTCAATGACTTCCTAATATGCCACTGAAAGATGATACTGCAATTTACATAACTATTTTCCAATCCTTGGCTATATAGATTGTTTCTTGATTCTTACTATTTTATACAATTAAGCTTTGCCATATTTAAAATTATTTCCTTGGCATAGACTCCCAGGATAAGAATGTATGGGTCAAAAAATATGAATATTTGTATGCTTGAAACAGATTACCTAATTGCTAGAAAGCAAATCCATTCAGAGAGAAAAATAACTAGCCAATTACTAGAATATAGGTATTAGTGTCCTTTAATATTTAGGAGCTCTGGTGGCACTGTGGTTAAGAGCTGGGCTGCTAACCAAAATGTTGGGAGTTCAAATCCACCAGCTGCTCCTTGGAAATTCCATAGGGCAGTTCCAGCTGCTCCTTGGAAATTCCATAGGGCAGTTCTACTCTGTCCTATAGGGTCTCTGTGAGTCAGAATGGACTCGATGGCAATGGGTTTGTTTTTTTTCTTTTTCTTAATATTTAGGAACATGAAAAATGGAACTAAAGATCAGAAAGTTGTTTTAGGGAGCAAAATAACAGGGAATAATATTGGCATACGGAGAGTTTAAATCAAGCTATGGTATGCATGTGTCAGAACCGACTGGACGGCACCTAAAAACAACAATGGTATGTAGGCCACAATGATCTCTTACAACTCCCAGACCCATCACTAGTTTATTTTGGTGGCTCAGGTTATTGTTAAAAACAGACAGAACAGACCTCAAGATTTCCTTTCTTCTAAGAAGGCTGGTGTGTTGACCTCTGTGTGCTACATAAGTCTCTGTTGTGTGGTTACTTCCAGCATCCACCAGCTGAGAAACCAAGTGTCAGAGGAGCATGGCGTTCTCAAGAAGAAGGAGATGGAATCGGGGCCCAAAGCGTCGCATGGCTACGGAGGCCGGTTTGGGGTAGAAAGAGACCGAATGGACAAGGTTTGTTGAAAGGGTTAAAAAAAAAAAAAAAGACACATTGAAAAATTTGTTGGTTTTATGGTTTAAAACTTACTCAAAAGTACAGTATTTGTTTGGGCTCTAAAATAGAGAGTCTACATATATTTATTTAGAAGGACTGGCCTATTGTTGCCCCAGCCGCATTGTTAACTCCTAGACTGGGGAGAGAGAGTGCAAGTGGAGAAGGGGAAAATATGTTTCAAACTTGTTTTCCGCTTTTGAATGTTTTTATGTTATGTGTACCCTGCAACTTCTATTATTCTTTATTTGTTTGTGTGGTCAGTGGTCTTTTCGTATGTATCATATATATTGTATACATGGGTGTGAAAAATATCGGTGTGAACTTATTCATTAGATGCCCCCTCACATATGAACATGGAATTTCCTTTATCTGTTAAATATAAAAAATGTAAATTCAACAAGTAAAGTGAAATTGTCCTACACAGACACAGAAACACTGCAAAATGAGTATCCAAGAGCTCATATGGGGCACAACTTCATGTCAATCCCAGCATGGGGTTGGAAATACAGGAGGAAAGAGAAGTTTTCTAATTTCTTCTTAGTTGAGACTTTGAAAGATAGTATCATTATTTACTTTGACATATTACTTAATTCTCAGATTATGAAAACGTCCATATCTAAGTATTAGAAGAGAAATATGTATCAAAACCAAATAGAAAACAAAACAGGTAGGTGGAGTAAAGAGTGGAAGGGATTGAGTTATCTGCTATTTTGGATGGCTCCCAGTATTGTCTACTAACCTCCTTTGGTCTGAAGAGTCAGTTACCGTTACATATCAGAGCACGGGTGGTACTTCTGAACTTTAATGGCTACACGGGAGCAAAGATCCAGAACAGCAGGCTGTTTTTGTGAAATATTCAATTCCAGCTATGGTGTCCAGTTAGCCCTGCTTGGTGTCTCCCCATACCTACCCTCATTTCTGTTTTGATGGACAAAGCCCTTGTTTTAGCTCTTTTTTCTGGTCTAAATACAGCTTCGTCTGCCCAGTCTCTATCATGCCTCCTAGCCCATCTTCTTGGACTTTCTTGTATGATGGATTCCTGATGGTATTCAAGAAGCATCAGGGATGTGCTAAGTTTCAGAAAAAGTCACCTTGCTCTCCCATCATACTCCTTGGCACCAGCCGTCAGAGGCCAGGAGTCTAACCCAGAATAGAATTTCCTGTGTTCTTACACTCCATCCCATCTATGCGTCTTTCCATTTTTTCGTGTCTGTTTTTATCTTATCGTTCACTCTGTTCTTGATTTTCTCAGAGTGCTGTGGGCCATGAGTATGTCGCGGAGGTGGAGAAGCACTCTTCTCAGACTGACGCTACCAGAGGCTTTGGGGGCAAATATGGAGTTGAGAGAGACAGGGCAGACAAGGTAAGTGACAGCTCTCTCCCTGTGCTGCCCACCTCAAACCATGCTGGACATACCAACACTCGCCCTTGAGTGTGGGCCCATGCTTCTCCTGTGGAAAAACAGGGCAGTGGACGCTAGCTCCCATGACCTCCCTCAGCCAGTTCCTTGGTGCCACGTTGGAGGCCGCATACTGAACTGCAAGGCATTAATTTAAATGAGAGAAAAGCTCTCAAACTCTGTATGAATCAGGAATCCCTTAAGTGATGAGTTGTTATTATACTTGTATGCTAAAGAGAGAAGAGGAAAATCCCAAAATTCCTCTTTTGGCTTAATATAGAAACCTTATAATTATTATGCCTTTTAGGAAAACGGAGGCGTCAGTTTAAATAATATTACCAAGGCACAAATAATCAAGGAAAACAACTAATTAGGATTATAATGTTTTTGCAAGGTAGTTACTTTTCACAGGATTTGGCATTAATCTCTGAAGCGTGGGTGTTTTAAAGACTCCTTTCTACAACAACAGCAACAAAACACTTTTAAAGACAGATAAAAAGGACGGTCTGATTACAGGAAGATATCCTGCACAAGAGAGCAAGACTAATACTCATTGTGGTTCTCAGTTCCATACTTTATTGGATCAGAGTCTTTGAAGTAATTTTAACAGTGCAGAATAGTGTCTCTTCCCCTGCCGTTGCTCAGAGAAAGAAGACGTTTATTTTCACAGCTATCTGAGATTCCTTTTTACCTGTAGGTGCTAATTAGGTGGGCTTGAATCCTTAAAGCTAAGTGCTAGAAAGTTATTTGTTTGCACTGTAGGAAAAAAAAAAAAGAACAGAAAAGTTCAAAACATACTATAAAGGGAAAAAGAAAGGGGCAGAAGGGAATTGTTTAAGGCAGTAACGGTTAAGCGCTAGACTGCTAAGCGAAAGGTTGCTGGTTCGAACCCACTAACAGTTCCGTGGGAGAAAAGATCTGCTTCTGGAAAAGATTACAGCTGAGGAAACCTTACGGGGTAGTTCTCCTCTGCCCTATAAGATTGCTATGGTCAGAGTCCCCTCAACAGCACACAAGAACAGCAATGCTGTATAATCAGGATGGAATTTCCTGCTTCATCTAGGCCCCTCCTGCCTTTGCCTGATCTCTCATTGTCACATCTTCTGCCCAAGGAAGCACAAACTGAATCACCTAAACAATGTGTGTCATGTAAATTAAGAAACTGTATATACTAATTAGGTTTTAAGATGCAAAACCTAGACTTGCTTGCAAAGCCATAGTTACTGAGCCAGGTGGGGCCACAGCTACATGGATTTTGGTGGAATGGGAGGCAGTCAGGAATGTCTGGATCCTGGCTGACTCTAGGACTGAGTAAGTTGATCCCTAACATCACAGTGGCTGCAACAATTGGCTCAAACATAGCAACAATGGTGCAGGACCAGGCAGTGTTTTCGTTCTGTGGTACACAGGCTGCTATGAGTTGGAACCGACTCGGCGGCGCCCAAGAACAGCAACAACAATATCATCACTATGTAGCTCTGAGGCTGAGCTGGGAGTAAAGGTAAGGCAAGGAGGGAAAGAAATTGTGGGCCATGGCTCTTTAATCACTTCTCTGTTCTTTTCTCTGTAGTCAGCAGTTGGCTTTGATTACAAAGGAGAAGTGGAGAAGCATGCATCTCAGAAAGGCAAGGACCCTGCCCCTCAGCCTCAGCAAGCCCCCTGACCTGCTATTCTGCTCAGACCTCATTGTCCAAGAGCTGTCACCGGCTCCCTTTAGTTCCATGATCCAGCTCTCCGTCTTTTTTTCTATACTGCTTTTTATAACATTGATCAAGTTTTATTTAGGCCTTCATTTCCCTCTAGTAGATTAAAAACAATGCATTCTACTCATTTATTTTTAGAAGTTATCCCTAAATTTTAACAAGCATCTTTAACTTAAAATTTAAAATCACTATCTTCCCCCTGAGTAACAAAGGAAACAATATTTTAACTGCAATCTTTCTACCAACCATATTAGAAGCAGTATCTTGATTTTATCTTGTTTTTAAACCCCACAAAAATAAATCATTATTATTACTTAGTGGATGCTTCCTTAAATTGACCAACATACTTACCAATTTCCTTCCTCATCACCATTTACTGTGTCTTACAGTTTACTACTAGGATTAATTTCCTTCTTGCTAGAGGACATCCTTTGTTGTTTTTTTTCAGTGAGAAAAACGTCTTTATTTTGCCCACTCTTCATTGTTATTTTCCCTCCATCACTTTGAAGATATTATTTCATTGTCTCTGGCATTTCCTTGTGTCAGTCTAATTATCATTCTTTTGTAAATACATGTATTCTTTCTCTCTTTTAAGATTTTCTTCTTGTCTCTGATACTCTGCAATATCATCAGGCTGTGTCTAGGTGTTAACCGAACCAATTGCCATTGAGTCGATTCCAACTCATAGCCACCCTATAGGATAGAGTAGAACTGCCCCATAGGGTTTCCAAGGAGCACCTGGTGGATTTGAACTGCCGACCTATTGATTAGCAGCCAAACTCTTAACCACTACGCCACCAGGGTTTCCATTTGTATTATCCTATGTGACACTTATTGTCCATCTTCAACCTGAGACATGACCTTTGTTTAGTTATGGAATGTTCTCATGGATTTTCTCTGTGGATAGTGATTCTCCATTCTCTCCTATTGCTTCTTCTGGAGCTCCGATTAGACGTGTGTTAGACTTTTCCATCTCACCTCCGTGTCTCTCTGTCTTTTCTCTATGTCCATCTCTGTATTTCCCTGTGCTGCATTCTGGGTAATTCCCTTAGATCTATGTTAAAATGATTGATTCTTCCTTCAGCTGTTCTTAGGTATTGTTTAAGCTGTCCATTAGATTTTTAACTTTTCATTCAGATATTTTCATTTCTAGAAGTTTCCTTTGGTTCTTTTGCAAATCTACTGATTCTTTTTGTCTTATACTTTCATTATGGTTTTCTTTTTCTTTTTTTTTACTCCCTTTTTAAGGTCTTTAATTATTTTAAGCATATTTCTTTTATAGTTTCATCATATTCTTATATTAGTAACAATTCTTGCGGATGCCAACCTTTCTGTTTTATTAATCTGCTTTCCTTCGTGGTAATTTATTTCCTTGATAGTTTGTAATTTCTGTTTGTAAGCTTATTTCAGTGGAGAGGAGGGGTATTTCTTTTATGAGAATTTCATGTGCCCTGGGTTGAGAAAGTGCCTCATATATAAAAATTTTACCTTTATTTTTGGCTGAGTTCAAGGGGGTTTAATAGTAATGGATCACTTTTTATTTGTAGTTTTTTTTTTTAATTATTATGAATTCAATTTCTTAAACAGATATAGGGCTATTTAGTCTTTTCAATTTTTTCTTAAGTCAGTTATGGTAAGTTGTGCTTTTCAGGGAATTAGAAAACCAATAACAAAAAATTGATTGTTTTTGCCACAAACCTCAGCATTTGAGAGGGCTGGCTCTGGTCAACCCAGCCACTGCCTCCGGAGAAACCAGGACAGAAAACCTCAGGCAACGGTGCAGAGAATGAACCCCCAACACCAGCAGTTAGCCCTGTAATTACTAAGGTTCAGTAAGGCCACATCTTCATCTTTGTTATTATTCAATTAGAAGTTCATCTGTATTGTCAAATTTATTGGCATAAATTCATTCATAGCATTCCCTTATTTTCTTTTTAATGTCTGTATGTTCTGTAGTGATATGCTTATGTTAATTTCTGATTTTTCATTTCTTTAATTGATTATTCTTGCTAGAGGTTAATCCATTTTATTATTCTTTTCAAAGAACTAACTTTTGGCTTTGTTAATTTTCTTTGTTGTTCACTGCTTTTAAAAATTTTATTAATTTCTGCCATTTTCTTTGTTATTTTCTCCTACACAATGTGGGCTTAATTTGTTATTTTTCTAGCTTCTTAAAACAGCAACTTGGATACCTGATTCAAGTCTTACTAATATGGCAATTCAAATGCTGTTTTTGTTGCATTCCACAAATATGTTGTGTTTTTATTTTTATTTAGTTTAAAATATTTTCTAATTTCCCTTATGATTTCTTCTTTGACCCATGGGTAATTTAGAAGTATGTTATTTATTGTCCAGGTATTGGGGTTGGGGGGGAAATTTCTAGATTTTTTTTTTGCTGTTATTGATTTTCTGATTTAATTTACTGTGATCAGAGAATATGATCACTAATGTTTGAATGAAATATAGTGTGACTTACTGTATGGACCAGCATATGGTCTTCCTTGGTGAATGTTTTATGTGCATTTAAAGAATGTGTATTCTGCAGTTTTGGGGTGTAGTGTTCTGTAAATACCTATTCAGTCTTGTTCATTCCCAGTGTTGTTTAGATCTTCTTTAATTTTACTGATTTTTTTTTTTTTTTTTGGTGTGTCTTTTTGTTCTATCAATTAATGGGAAAGGGCGCGTTAAAAATTTTCTTCTGGAACTTCTCTTTTTAACTTTGTCAGTTTTTGCTGCATGAATTATGATTCTGTTAATAGGTTTATACCAGCATACATTTTCCTGATGGATGAATACACAATCCCTATGAATCACTCTTTTATCATTATGTCATTGTAATGCATTTTATCTTGAGGTCTACTGTGCTTCCTATTCATTCCATCTTTCTTATGCTTACTCTTTCCATGGCATATATTTTCTTGGATCAGCATGTAAGTTAATGTCTCAGCTTAGAATTCCTGTATCACGTTAGTAGTATAAAATGGATATTTATATTCAATTCTCAGGTGTAGGCCTTAAGTTTCCAAGTCTCATAGGTAAATTTTCTCCCTACCAAATGCTAAACAGACTACAAATTCCCCCTCACCATTTCACTGGACTAGTGAGTAGAATTTTTCTAGAACCCTGTATAGCAGTGGACAGGGCCTCATTTCCTGCTCTCCATCCCCTGTTCCTGTATAGCAGTCGGAAACCCGGACCCTAGATCCTAACCCCTAGGCATTTGGGACTAAAACACTCCTGGTGTTTCCGTGGTGTCGGCTCATAATTACTAGCACATGTACTGCTATGATTCCTATCTTTGTTTCTGGATCCAGGAATGTTTCTTCCTTTTGAGCTTCACTACTAAAAAATAATAATAATTGTTATATTTTAGCTCATAATTCTGTGTGTCTGTATGAGAGCAGGGATAGGCATCCATTTCAGATTTATCTGCCTTTTTTTCCCAGAAGTCTCTCCCCACACCCTCTAGTTGCAGCTTCCTTGAAGAAGGAGGGAGAAAAATGGAATGATTTTTCTCATCTTGGGATGAAAGTGGGAGAGGAGAGGAGAGGAAAGGAGTGAGAAGTGTTGAATGAAAGCTTACAGAAGAAGGTTTAGGACACCGTTTCTCTTTAATTCGCCTATATTCAAGCCCTGCTCTATTCCCAGGCCCTTCCCACCCTACACCCTTTCTCCCAACTTCTCTCTTTTCCAGCACTTTCCTGTGGGCTGAGGGTGGGCTCTCATGACTGCTTCTTCAACCACAGATTACTCCCGTGGCTTCGGTGGCCGTTATGGGGTGGAGAAGGATAAACGGGACAAAGTAGCCCTGGGATATGACTACAAGGGAGAGACGGAGAAACACGAGTCCCAGAGAGGTGAGTTGGGGTTGGGGAGGAGAGAGGTCCCAGACAGAGTGATCTAGAGGCCCTAAAAAACAGAGGGGTAGATGTTCAGCGGAGGACGTGGGTGAAGAGACAGTGTTTATGGGTGGAGGACACTAAGAGGGGTGAAGAGGAAAACAGCAAGATTAGGATCAAGGCAGAGGAGGGAGGCCAAGGAGGAGGGGTAATTGAAGAAACAGGCTGGATGGAGGCATAGAGGTGGTAGGTTATGAGTCTTAGAGGTCCCCTTGTCCCACAGATGACAGAGAGGTCTACTTCTTCCCTGGGACACATAGGGGTGGCTGGGGGGCTCTCCTTATAATATTTTTTCCTATTTCTTCCTTTCGGTTCTCCCTTTTCTTGTCACTTCTCTCTTTCTATGCTTCCTTCTTCTCTCTACCATTCTTTTGCACCTTTTTTTCTCCCCATCCTTTTCCTTCTCTTCCCTTCCATGCCTCTCTCTATCCTGATTCTCACATTTCCTCATATCTCTTAATTTCCCATGTTCCTGTCTTCTGGTCTTCCCTTCCACTCTTCCCTCTCCCCACCCATTCCCAGCATTTTAATCTCCTGTTATGACTTCACACCTTTCTGTTCTTCAGATTATGCCAAGGGCTTTGGTGGCCAGTATGGGATCCAGAAGGACCGAGTAGATAAGGTAAAGCACCAGAACAACAATGTGTCGAGAATTCCCTAAACTGCACCTGAAGTGGGCAGAGAAGAGCGAGAAGCAAAGCTGGGGACAGTAAGGAACAGTGCCGCTAGGTCCCCAAGGCTTGTCCTCCTGGTGTCCTGCACTTCCCATTGACTGTTCTCTGCATCTAACGAGCATGTCTTCAGAGGCCTCAGCTTTACCTGAGGAGCGTGAGGGAGGCAGAGAGAGAAAGGGAGAAGGATGGACACAAGGGAAAGGTGATGTTAGACTTTAATGTTCATGGATTGCCTGTCATCGCTTAACCCACTCTTTAGTCTCTTCCCACTCATGTCCCTGTCCTCCCCTACACCAGCTCCTCCTCATGTGTTGGCCAGGGGCCCTGCTGCTTTCCAGGCAGCTGGGCTTGCAGATGTGAGATTCTAGGTACACTGAGCTTGCAAGAAGCGGAGCCCACCAGTTTAGAACATTTTTACCCCTGTTTCGGCCACAAAACAATAATATTAGAATCCCTGTCCAACTATTGAGAATCAAATGGTTAGGGATACCTCCTGCAATGGCCCCGCCCCCAATACTGCCTGCTGGGTCCCTGCTACACCCTCCCTACCGCCCCCCCCCATACTGTTCTCCCACCTGCAGAGTGCTGTTGGCTTCAATGAAATGGAGGCCCCAACCACTGCTTATAAGAAGACGACACCCATAGAGGCTGGTACGTCTTAACGATCCCCTCTCTCTGTGCTACTCAACCTCCTCTCCCTGCTCATTCTTCCGCTTCCCCAGACTATCTTCTCCATGCCTTTTAGTATCTATATTAGCTGAGGTAGAATTGACCCCTACCTTCATATCCCAGATTCTGTCTCCTGCAAAAATCAGGGATAGAGTGTTGTTGGGAAAAGAACTGGGGGCAAAAAACAGAGTTGTTGTTGGCTGCCTTTGAGTCAGCCCCCAACTCATGTCAACTCCATGTGTTACAGAGTAGAACTGCTCCATAGGGTTTTCTTGGATATAATCTTTATGGAAGCATATTGCCAAGCCTTTCTTCCACAGAGCTGCTGAGTGGGTTCGAACTGCCGACCTTTAGGTTAGCAGCTGATTGCAAACCACTTGTGCCACCCAGGCTCCTAGAGAACACAGAAAGGGAATGAAATTGCTTGGGAAGGATAGATAGAGATGGGAGTTTGGTATTGGGGGTAGTGGGTGGGGTGGTGGCCAGAGGACATATAGATTTAAAGAATGTGGACAAGAAATAGTTCTGTTAGGGAGAAAGGCTTATAATTTAGAAAGGACAAGAGTCTGAGGTAGCACATCCTGGCTAAATGGAAATCTAGCTTCAGGGCTACACCATCTTCCTATAATGCCTTTGTTCTTCCACCAATATTTCTCTACCTACCGCCCTCCCAGCAGTCCCCTCCCATCTTCTCTCCTCCTGGATATTTCACTGATTCCTATTGCTCCTTCAAGCCTCTCACTGTCCCCACCTTCACCCAAGACAACCCTGATTCTTTTTGCTGTGTCTGAAGCTTCTAGTGGTGCCCGTGGACTCAAGGCAAAATTTGAGTCCATGGCTGAGGAGAAGAGGAAGCAGGAGGAAGAGGAGAAGGCAAAGCAGATGGCCAAGCAGCAAAAGGAGCGAAAGGCTGTAGTAAAGATGAGCCGTGAGGCTCAGCAGCCAGAGATGATTGTGGAAGAGCCAGTGGCACCGGCCCCATTGCCCAACAAAATCTCCTCAAAGGTGAGTGCTGCCTCCCCAGGATCTACACCCAGGATCCCTTGCCCAGACAGGAGCCTGTGGTGTCTGAATTAATGGCAGAAAACAAGGCGAAGGCCTCCCCTGTCATAGGCAGAGTCTGTAACTGCTGTCCTTGTCTTCAGGGAGATTTCAGTCTGATTGAGTAATTGGAGCTCATATACCAGAATGTTAGAAAAAACAAACAAATGAGATACTCGTAGTGCAACAGGAGACAGGTCACCAGCCAGTGTAGCCAGTCATGCTGCAGGAACGGAAGGAGCCACCACTTCAGGTTGAAGCTCATCTTGAGGGATGAGGTGGATATGGATTGGCGGAGAGCAGGAGGGAGTGTTCCAGGTAAGAAAAGAGTGTAAGAGGGCCAGAAGAGCTAGATGGTGCCAGGCTACCACCAATGACCACCCTGACAGAGAACACAACAGAGAGTCCGGGATGGAGCAGGAGAAAGGTGGGGTACAGAACTCAAATTTTAGTAAGAAGACCAGACTTAATGGTCTGACTGAGACTGGAGGAACCCCACAAAGCATGGTCCCCGGACTCTCTGTCAACACAGAACTAAAACAGTTTCCGAGGCCAACTCTTCAGACAGGGATTGGACTGGACTGCGGGACATAAAGTGATACTTGTGAGGAGTGTGCCTCTTAGCTCAAGTAGATACGAGAGACTAAACGGGCAGCTTCTGTCCAGAGGTGAGATGGGAAGGCAGAGAGGGTTGGGAGCTGGTTGAGTGGACATGAGGAATCGAGGGTGGAAAGGAGGAGTATGCTGTCACAGTAGGGGGAGAACAGTTAGGGTTGCATAATAATGTATGTATAAACTTTTGTAGGGGAAACTAACTTGAAAAGTAAACTTCGTTTAACTACAACAGTAAAAAAAAAAAAAAAAGAATGTAAGAGGGAAGATGGAGGCTTGCTTACTAGAGAGATGGTGCTTCATTCTCCACAGGCTTGGCCTCCAGCAGAGAGTTGTCCATCTTCAGAGCCTGAGCCTGTGAAAACCAGTAGGGGCCTCCCAGTGTCCTCCCTGCCCTCGAGGCAGACTATCCCAGAGGTAAGTATACCCCCAAAGGGTCTCTGCCCTTAGTCCATCTCCTCATGTCTTAGGAAGGTGATATACTGTGATCAACCCCAGCCTGGTTTGCCTGGGACTGTCCTGGTCTTGGCATGGAAAACCCATGTCCTGGGAAACTCCTTGGTCTCCAGCAAACTGGGACAGTGGGTCACCCTAGTGTGGTGCTCCTCACAATGTGCTCTTGCTTGAATCTTTTCCTGATCTTCCAAGGAATCTGACTCGCTTTCTATTTCCCTCCCCTCACACCTTTTACATTTCTCTCCTATCTTCTCTTGGTGGATGTTTCGAGTGGATGGGTGTGGGAAGAGGTTGAGAGTGAAGCTAGGTTCACCCCAACGGGCTGTTAGGTGGAGGCAAGGGTGTAGGATAGAAGTGGTAGGGTGGTGAAGAGAGTAGGGGCCCGTAGCAGTCTTCCACTGGGAGGTTTTGGAGAGGTAACTCCTGGTGGAGTCCTGATCCACATTGTCTCTTCTCAGGATGATGAGAATCCCCCAGCTCTGCCCCCCAGGACTCCGGATGTCCTCCAAGTGGAGGAAGAGCCGATTTATGAAGCAGAGCCCGAGCCCGAGCCCGAGCCCGAGCCCGAGCTTGAGCCCGAGAATGACTATGAGGATGCTGACAACATGCACAGGCATGAGCAGGATGACGACGCACAGGGAGACTATGAGGATGTTGACAACATGGACAGGCATGAGCAGGATGACGACGCAGACGGGGACTATGAGGATGTGATTGAGCCTGAGAATTCCTCCGCCCTTGCTGGTGAGTGGTGGGGGGAGAAGAAGCTTCTGAATTTTGTCAGCTCTTGGGGAGGAAAGGAGGGAGAGGAATTCTCCTATTGTTCAGCAGGATCTGTCTCTGTTTGCCTTCTCCATTTTGGTCAAACCATGTTTAAATTTCTCATTATGCAGGATCATCAGGCTACCCAGCTGGGGCTATCGGAATCTCAGCTGTAGCCCTGTATGATTACCAAGGAGGTAGGTTGGGAGTTGCCTGAGGGGCCTGTTGCCTGAATACCCCTGATACAAGAGACGGGGTTATGAATCCTGTGGGTCATCAAGAAGGTGGCCAGGCCTATTCCCTTCCCTGAGGGTTAGGGTGGACACAGGGATGGAGAGATTCTTGTCTGACCTAATATCCCTAATATCCCCTGAACTTCCTCCACAGAGGGAAGTGATGAGATTTCCTTTGATCCAGATGACGTCATCACTGACATTGAGATGGTGGATGAGGGCTGGTGGCGGGGACGTTGTCACGGCCACTTTGGACTCTTCCCTGCAAATTACGTCAAGCTCCTCGAGTGACTCTCACTGTTTTTTTGCCCTGTGACTCCCCATGTCCAAAGTGGCTCTACCCCACTCCCATTCCTGCTTCAAGTGTCTAACAGGATGTCATGAGTTACCTGAGGTTCTGGGTAGACTTCCTTCTCCAATTCCATTAAAGGCTTGGGGCAGAGTCAACATAATGAAGGGCGTTCCTTCCCTTAGTATCCTCTCTACCCTGGATAAGCCTCAGGCTGTAGAGTGGACTAGCCTGCTCATGGACACTTATCTTGTGGTCTTGCCTCATCCTCCATGAATGTTTCCTCTAACCCCCCCCCCACCCCGGCCAAATCTGCTGTCCTTTCTGGGATTCCTGGTTTGCTTACCTGGGAAGGTACCTAGAGTCCCTGGTTTGTCAGGTTGTGCTGTTTGCCCACTTTCCTTTCCTGCAGAGATATCTCTGAATCTTCTCTGTGCCCAGTCCTAAAGTTAAAAATAAAATGGGACTATGGTTCACCCTTATGCTGAGCTAAATAGTACTTTTTGTACAGCCCTCAGTGGCTCTGGGCTCCCATGGGCTCTGATTCTCTTCCATCTTCTAGGTGTATCCAGAAGACTCCCTCCTGCCACTGCCCATCTACCTGCACCCTGAATGTCAAAGGCTGGTCCTTTTCCTTAGACTGCACTTTAAACCCAGATCAAAACAGGTCAGACTGGAGAATGGGCAGTAAGGTGGGGCAACAGGGGTCACGTAGTATCCACATTAAGGCAGTTCAACCTCTACTGGTTTTAGCAGTTGTGGGAGGCCAGCCACCTTCTGCCTGAGGGTGGCAATTCTAAAGGAAAAACATGACTTAGGGGATAGGAAGTGGAAAAGGCAGGATTTGTAACAGAAAAGAGTAAAACTAAAGGAATACAGGCTTGGGTGAGGTGTTAAGAGGATTTGGAGCCAGAGACAGTGGCCCCCACTTGGGAAAGTCCAGACTGCCTTGTAGCTGGCTGCTTTATGGAAATCAATGGCCAGGGAAGCAGGTGGACGGAGGAAGTATATGGAACTTCTGCCTGGCCCAGGGCCAAGGTAGATAGGAAAACAGCTGAGGACATTTGGACAGCCTATGGTGGGCAACAAGCTAATCACCAAGCAAAGTATGGGGATGAGAGAGAGTGGAGACCAGGACAAGGTGGGCTTTTCCAAGCACCAGGCTGTGGAGCTTAGCCTCAGCAAGGTCAGAGATAGGGGATCCTAGGACAAAACCAAAATAGAAGCCAGGAGTTTGGTGTAGGAGATCTCTGGGTGATAGGACATAGAAGTTTGTGCCATCACCAGCATCTGAAGTTGGGTCCAGCTTTCAAAGATGGCCAGAGCAGTGGGATCAAGGAGGGGCTATGTTCAGTAGCTAATACCCAGAGTTGCTCCAGGACTTCAGAGAGCTGGTGAGATGCCCACGTGCCTAGAGCACTGGGTGCCTCAGGCTCGTTCTGTGGCATTTCTTCCAGAAACAGTCCTTTGGTTTCAACAATGCTTCTATGCCAGTGAATCCCTAATCTGTCTTTAGAACTCCCTCACAAGATTCACCCAGATAGCCTTCCAGAGTGTAAAGCAGCTTTTATTTCTGCTTATAGAGATACTGTGATTTCAAGTCACCATAGATATACACAATCTCATTCTTCACCTCATTTTGGTTTGACATCACACATAGATCAAGCTTCTACAGTGGCTTTCCTGTTACATCTCCAAGTTCACCTTGCTTTTTTTTTTTTTTTTTTTTTTTTTAGCTTTTTCCTTCATTATATGATAGAACTTTTTTTTTTCCAGATCCTTGTGCTACTGAGGCAGCAAGGTCCTTCCTGCTTCAGTTCTACAGACCTCACCCTTCACCATGTTCCTCCGATCTCTACTCTGAACTGACTTTCTTGGTGGTGATACTCATCAAGGGTTTTGCTTACAGACATCTCCCCAGTTCAGACTCCTATTCTTGGATACACAGTCCCTCTTCAGCTCCCCTGAGCTGTTTCTCAATCCCAAACTGTGTCTAGTTGACTTGACTTTGTCAGATAACGCTCCCCGCTTGTGTTGCTCACTACAGCTTCATCTCACTAAGCAAACCATCTTCTGCCTTATCCACAGTCTCTTTCCCTGCTGCTCCACCTGCCCTCTCACCATAAAATGCATGTACTTGTATAACCAGTGGGTGGCCCTAGTGCCACAGTGCTCGGCTGCTAACTAAAAGGTCGGCAGCTTGAATCCATCAGCCGCTACTTGGAAACCCTATGGGGCAGTTCTACTTTGTCCTGTAAGGTCGCTATGAGTTGGAATTGACTCAATGGCAATGAGTTTTTAGTTTTTTTGTACAACCAGTAACCACCAGTTGTTGTCAAGTTGACTCCAGCTCATGGCGATCCCATGTGTGTGTCAGAGTAGAACTGTGCTCCACAGGGCCTTCAATAGCTGATTTTTCAGAAGTAAGTTTGCCACGACTTTCTTCTGAGGTACCTTTTAGGTGGACTTTAACTTTCAACCTTTCAGTTGGCAGCCCAACGTATTAACCATTTGCACCACCCAGGAATGCCAGTAGATACCGGTAGTGCCATGATTTCCTGCAACATATACAATCTGATATCTCATAAAGTGTGTTTGATAGTGTTGATCAATTCACCATTGCTGTGCAGGCAACAACTGTGACAGGAAAGTGCTACTGGAGGTGCGCAGCCCACAGAGCAGGTGCAGGCCCTCCTCTGACTGCTCTCCTGAGCCCCTGCGCTGCCCCGTCCCCCCAGGTTGTGGAGGGAAGGCCTCTGCTTTCTTCTTTATGTAGCACCTTCCTTCTCATTCCTCTAGCAGCAGCCCCTGCTTTTCATCTCTGTTGGTCTGTAGCTCCCCTTTCTCTCTTTTTGTAATAAAATAAGAAACCCAGAGTGGACTTTAGGGGCTCTCTTCCTCCAGAGAGGGAAGGATTAGATTCAGAACACATGGGATCAATACCAGGCGAACTCTCTTCCTTCTTCCCTGCTTCAGTGCTGTTTCCAATTACTCCTCTTCACTAAGTAAACCATAATCAAATCTTGTATCATACTCACTATATATTTAGAAAATGGTGTCTATATACAAATGTGAAATATAAACCAAACAACGGGAATTAGGAAAAACAGTTAAGTTACCAAATAGTACCAAGTGGCACATTAAAATAAAACAATGAGTGTATTTCTGTCCTGGGACTTGCTCTAATGCCTTCTTGACCTCTCTCGTAGGTCTGATCTACTCTACACCAGATCCCAACCATGTTCACCCACGCTAACTAGACTCTTTTTTCTGTTGGCTAAGTTCTTTGTTCTCTGCTTCCCCCCAATGCCTGTTCTCCCTACCCAGTAATTCTCATTTACTTGAGGACTGCTTGGACTGCTGGGTAAATGGCATTAATTAAGGTGAGATGGATATAAACACAAGACAAATAACTCAACTTTCCTGCCTTCAGTTTCGCCTGGAAAGAGCTGAAAGTATATATTTTGCACATGGACCTAGAACAGGAAGCCACACAAACAAATCAGCTCCATCTGGTTCCCAACTTAAAATTACCTGGTGTGTAAAATCATTTTAGTAACTAAAAGAGAGCTGCTTAAGATCAAAACCATTGTGGGTAACTATGCAAGGTAAGATTTTGCCCCAGCTTCTACACAACATACTTTGTGACTTCACTTCTATCTCTCATCCTTTGGCCTGTGGTATCCTCAGGGGCCACTGTGCTCAGCTAGGGGGCTCTTCTTTGTCCAGCTGTATGGGGACTGGCTGGGTTTAAACGCAGTGGGGCAAGTAAAAGACGCCCTGGACCTAGCTATTAAGCAGACCCAGATCCGGCACCTTCAAACTGTGCCCTTCACCCTGGGTGCCCCGCAAGATAACTCTCTGTACCGAAGACGTCATCCCTGCATTGCCTGCCCCATGGGTTTGAAAGTGCTTTGCAAACAAAAAAGCTCTATGTAAAAGCACAGGTCTGTGCTGGTTGAGGAACTTCATTGCGCCCTTGTCTTTTGAGTGGCCTCAAAGTTACCTATTTTCTCCTCAGACTGATGTATTTTCAAAAACAAATGAAAGGGAAATAAGTGATGAATATGGCCCTACAGCAGCTCTACAAGCCATGGCTTAGGAAATTCTCAGACTTTGTGCAACCACTCAGGTTTTGGAAGACATTGCATGTTCCAGTCCACCCAGAGATGCACATATGCCATTTACAGAGGGGAGTCCTCAAAACCACACTCTGTCCTACTTCCAGGAACTCCGAGGAGGAATCCAAGAATGGTGGTGTCTGAATCTTTAGAAAGCGTTTCTTCCTCGTGATCCGTTTCTAAAGGTGGAGACTAAGCTTTTTCGGGCTGGCTCATGGGGCTCACACATGCTGGTCAAAAGAATGGGGTCAGTTTTATGTTCTATGATGTTGAAAGGACAAGCCTTCAGGTGCTCAGACATGGAGGTGACTTCATTAAACTCCCAGCTCTTGATTTTGGAGAAGAGGCTGCTGAACTGCCAGATCTGTTGGGAAAGAAGAAAGCTCAAAAGTGAACATTGGGGTAATGCCCTCTGACTGGATTTATTTGCACAGTGTAAGAAATACTTCTCTTTTTCCTGTTCTCAGGAAGAAAGGTCTTGCCTGGGATATTAGAACTATTTCTCTTTTAACTTTAAAAACCATTTTAATATGAGCATCCTCTAGGCCTGACTAAATTGTCTTTCTTCCTTTCTGCAAGGAGATTGGTTTGCCCCAAATGATATCCAAGAATGGTTAGCAATCATTGAATTGGGGACAAACTTGAGCAAAAGAAATAATGGGGTTGCTAGGACATTAATTATTTGCTTCTGATTTTATAGAGAAAGATATTAGGCAGTTCTAGACTGTAAGGTTCCTGAAGGCAGGGTCTTAATCTCATTCATTTTTATCCCTAACTCATGGTTGGTTGGCACTCAGTGTTTATTTTACACATGGATGCAGTCATAAATACGTGAGGGAGATTCCCATAACTATTTTTTGAAGAAGACAGCTCAGGGAATAAATAATGGAAAATATACAAGATATTTTAGATATAATCAAAGAAAATAGATACAAACAACCCTAACTCTCCAAGGCCAGTTTGTAAACGCCCACATATTGGAAAGCAACTAAAAAATGAGATTATGGAATCATTGACCTCAATGGGCATCATAAGTTCATGGTTCGTATTACCAGTGTATCTACCATGAGAAGGGATGCTGAGGGCGCCTTGGACACTATGAATTAAAAATCTCACTTCTGTATAGTCCAAGCTGATAGGAACTGTAATATAGGTAAGCAGTATGGCCCTATTGGGGATAAGGAGCAAGATTTCTCTGAAGGGAAAGTTTCTTTGATCTATACAGAAGAGTTTAAAAAAAAAAATTAAATAAACATTTGAACCAGGGGAAATCAGTGAACCAATCATTTAGATTTTCAAGATGCCTTTATCAAAGGAACAGACAGCACTTTCAAATTGGGTAATTTGAAGACAATTTAAAACAACAACAACAAAAGCAGTGATTTACAAACATGTAGGTAGGAAACCACAAGATATAGTACAGTACCCACGGTTAGTAACAATCAGAAATGTTACTGCTTTAGGCTTGAAAAGCAAGAAGGGAGGGTTACGGGAACCCAGAGAGAGTAGCTCTGTGGAGAGAGCCATCTGATAGCCACGCCAGTCACAGTGTCATATGTTTATAAGCCTATCTTCCCTACCAGAACTCCTTGAGAGCTGGGACCATGTTAATTCCCAGAAACTTTCCCAGTGCCTAGTACAGTGCCTGGCACATAGATGGCTCTTAATAAACATTTGCTGAACAAGTGAATAAATGAATGTTTACTTGCCTGTTGGTGGACTCTCCAGGAGGTGCCTCCATGGGAATACCTCTTCTTCTTCCATTGCAGGAGGACCATCCCTCTCTCTTGTAACAAAGTGGCACAGATATTCCTCATCAGCACAGACACCTGGGAGAGCTGGGACAGGCTGATGCTGTCCAAGAACCCAGCGATGTACTGCAAAACCTCCAGGGGCAGGCTGGTTAGAGAATTCTGGCTTTTTCTTCCATGGCCTGAAGGATGGTTGTTCTTCGTTCCCTCACTCAGCTCCGGAGCAACCTCTGGCTTGATGGCAAAGGTCTTGAGCTCCTGACTATAGATTACTTTTGCCTTTTGCCCTGGGGGACGGAAATGGTTCTGAATAAATGTACATCCCAAATAGGCTAGGGGGCATCGATGCTGGAACCAGCCATTGAGACTTGATTGAATGTCTGTGTGGACATTCTTGAAGTGTAGGGGGAATTCATCCCTCCTGAAGAACTTGTTGCAAGTGAAAGTGAAGGTGGAGCTGCTCTTGTTGTGTCGCCTGGTCACACACTCACTATAGAGCTCCACATAGAGCCCCCCAGGGCTGGCAGCGGTTAGGAGGTCAGCTAGCACCGTCCCAGAGGAAAACTGTTCTGGCTCAAAGTTATAGGTCTGTGTGGCAAAATCCATGAACAGCCCATCAATACTCCTGGATTCGGAGATAACGTGACCTTTGAGTTCTCTTTCCAAAGCACACTGAAGGGTGGCCTTGATGAGATCTGACTTTGGCAGTTCCTCCACAGTGATCCCCAAATCTGAGGTGTCTACTGCCTTGTGTTGATTTGGCCTACAACTCAACATGGCATCTCCAAGTCGAGCCCGCTTTCCACAGTAGCTCACAGGAACTTTGAAGGTGTAAACAGTCTTGACTTCCTGAGCCTCAAGGTTGCCATAAACAAAATCTTTCTCCTTAGGTGTACAAGCAGCCATCTGACCAAAGTGAATAAGCATCCGCCCATTGTGCACCAGGTACATGTTATAGTCCTTTGCATCCACAGCTGTTTTTAGTCTTTCCAGAACACCATCCTGCCAGGGGGCAAGCCCCATCGTTTCCATAGCTGCAGGAAAGTCCTGCTGCTTCTGGTTTTCCTGTGGTTCTCTCCCTTTGGCTGTGCCCTCTCCTTCTACCATGTTATTGTCTGTGGAAATCTGTTCTTTCCCTGAGCCATTCCTGCTCTTGGTCTCACAGCTGGCGAGTGAATTTGTTAAAGCAGAGGCTGCATTCTCTTTGCTGAACATATTTTCCCACTTGCCATACTTGGCCAGGTCCATCCCTTCTTTGGTTTTGGCTAATGACTCTCGTTCTTCTTGACTCAACTCTGGCATCTCTCCATTAGCTGCTGACAGAGAATCGTGTGGTGCCAAACATGCATCCGCTCCACCCACCGCTCCTTCCATTTCTTCCCAAGTGACTTCACCATTCATAGTCGGTCTCTCCTCGGTGGCATCTCTAGTTTCTGGGAAAAGTTCCACCATTTTCAAGGATCTAAAAAGGACCTTCTGGTCCTGGAGGGCCAGGGCTGTGTCCAAACACTCCTCACTGGGGATCTCTTTCATGATGTTCTCATGAAGGGTTGTTTCAGAGTCCACATTGGGCCAGCGGTTCCACTCCATAGAGCAGCAGACCACACTGGCAGGACACACCTGCAGGTGTTTGGCCAGCTTGTGGCGGGACATGGAAAGTGGGCAGCCATATTCAGAGTTGAGGCATGGAACCTGCTCTAGAGGGCAAAGGAGCTCATGTTCTGCCTCTTTGCACATGTGGAAGGTGGCCCCACAGAGCAGGTGGCAGTTTATCATCCTGCAGGAGACGTTGGGCTCCACAGGAACGTGGCAGTGGCGATTGAAGCATCCCTCACAATGCCTGTGCTGCCCAGGTGGAGGCTGGCGTGCCCTGCCCTGGAGACACCACGGGAAAAGGAAAGAGAGAAAACAAATGAGCACCAGAAGAGGAGATCTACGTGTGTCTGTGACTGCGTTTCCATTGACTTATTTCCTGTTTACACAAGCTTGGAAAATATAAAAAATCATACAGAAGCAAAATTTACTCATAATTCCACAACCCAGAAACAACTATCAACTCTTTACTCTCCAGTTGTTTATTATATGTATGTAGTAAATGTACTTAAAACCAAAACCAAACCCTTTCTGTCCAGTCAATTCCAATTCACAGCGACCCTATAGGACAGAGGAGAACTGCCCCATAGGGTTTCTGGTGGATTTGAACTACCAACCTTTTGGGTAGCAGCCAAGCTCTTACCCACTGCGCCACCAGGGCTCCTAAATGTACTTAGAATGGGGTAGGAGGGGGTGCTGTATGTAATGGACTACTATGTTGACAATGTTATATTTGAGTTGTGGATTATGGGTGATTTATATTACATAGCTAATGCTATGAACACACTTTTGCATCCCACTTTTTAACTTGCTACTATAACCTGAGACTAGACTGCTTTTTATTGATATTCTTGACAAACTTTCTTCATAATGGCAGTGTAACATTCCAGAACATGGGTGTGCTCTTCTTCATTTAATCAACCACCACCCGGGGGACGTGCTGGCAGGAGAGAGGCCATGTCTGGTTTTGCTCACAACTGCATCCCCAGTACCTGGCGTGGGGCCTGGACCATGGTAGGTACTCAGTAATGTTAGCTGAGTGAAGGAGTTGCTGGGCGTTTAGATTATTGTTGGCTTTTTTGCTACTATAAAAAAATGTTCTACTAAAAATCTTATAAATCTTTCTCAGTTCTATGGTTTCCACCTACTGTGTTTCAATTTCTTCCAGGTTCTGTTCCGGTAAGTATCATCAGACCGTAAGGACTGGTCTGCCAGCTACTGGGGCTGCCGGCTAAATGAAGCCAGGCCTACAGCTCTGAAATGTGAAGGTCCAAAAAGCACTTGCTACTTACCATAGCTTCTCAATTTCTTTTTGTTTCTTAACTGTAGGAGAAAAGATGAATATGAATGGTTAGTAAGAAAAGTATTGTGGTTATCTATATTAACAGGAGCCAAAGAGACTTCGCATACTCTTTCAGTCAATTCCTTCCACCTCCCTGAGGTGAAAGTCATTGCCCCATTTTACAGTTCAGTGTAGTGTAGTGAAGCTTGGAGAAGTTAAGTTACTCGTTCAAGGTCACACCGCTGCTAAGTGCTGGAGACAGGTTTCCAACCCAGGCCATGCTGGCCCATGCTCTTTACATGGATTCACACTGCCCTCTGATGGGGCATATTACTGACCATGAGGTATGTAACTTCTGTTACCTGTTTCTTTTCTCCATTGTCTACTGACAATTGTCCTGACATTCAAAACTCTCCCACATCTGGCCCAAGTTACCCTGTTCTCCTTCTCTCCTACTGGGGCTTCCGTTCACTCAGAGGCCAGCCTGATACCTATCTTAATCTGGGGCAGTGTCTGAAGTATCCACCATGTGCCATTCACCCTGGTGTATTCAGCTGTGCTGTAGCTAGAGCGGGGGTCAAAACTCCAAAGGCTTCAGCAGCAGGCTGAGCAGGGTCTTCTGCAAGTGAGGAGAAGATGCTCTGCTTTCAGAGGAGTGCAGCTACTTGGCACTTGTCATTTAGTTCCATGTGAAATGCGTTGCCACATCTTCTGATTTTTCCATTGAAACTGGGAGTGCAGATTTTTGTGAGTGGCAGAATATAGTGTAGTGGTTAGGAGTCAGGCTGCAGTTTTCAACCCTAGCACGACAAGTCAGTAGTTGTGAGACTTAGGGAAAGTTAGTTAACCTCTTTGTGCATCAGCTTCCCCACTTGCCAAGGGAGCATAATGCTAGTACCTATCTCATAGGGGTGTTGTGGGATTAAATTAGTTAATATACTTACAGCAGTGATTGTCTCATAGGAAGTGATTTATACTTATTTGCTATTACAAAATAATTATTTTATATTCCATTATAGCACAAAATATTTAATTACATATCAGGATAAAAATCCCCTGATTTTTATCAACTAATTTAATTTTAAAAACAAAACAAAACTCTATCTGGGCCAAGAAAAACCTGTATACAGTCTAGATAGGATCTGTAGGTAGCCAGTTGCAATACCTGATCTAGAGACTCTAGCGTAATTTCAGCACTGTGTTTGTCTGGGTGGGGTGGGGAAGTTAGCACCCGAAAGTCAAGAGATGCAGTATTTTAAAATTTTACTTTAGGTTTGGCCAACTTCATGTGGGTGAATCTTCCCTCAACTTTTTTTTTCCTTTGAAAATTTTCAAATATACAGAAAAGGTAAAGGAATCTATACACGGAACACCCAAATATGCTCCACCTAAATTCAACAATAGTTAAGATTTTGCCACTTTTGTGCACTCGCTCTCTTTCCACACACACACACACACACACACACACACACACAAGTTTTGGTTGAACCACCTGAAAATAAGTTGCTGACATCGTGACTTTTCATCCCTAAAAACTTCAGCTTGTGTTTCCTCAGAATAAGGACATTTTCCTTTGTAACTACAATCACGTTATCTCACCTCAGAAAACGAAAAGCATAGCATGCTGTCCATATCCAAATTTCCCAAGTGTCCCAAAAATGTCTTCTGTAGTTTTTTTTTTTTTTTAATCATTTTTTTCTTTTGGAATCAGGATCCTTTTAAGGTCAACTTATTGCACTTGATTTTTATATTTTTTCAGCTTCTCTTAATCTACAACAGCACCCCCCACCCCGGCCCCCAGCTTTTTTCTTTTTTTTTCCAGAAGTGACAGCCTTAAATTTCAAGGAGAATTTACCCTCGTTAATTAATTTATTCATTTGTTGATTACTTACCGTGTCAGTAAGTGAGCATAAGGGTCGCCTGGAATGCTTCTTAAAGTGGTGTTAAACACTATTGTTCGTTAGAATCAGCTGGGTTGATTGTTAAACCTATAGATTTGCATTGTCCAGTATGGTAGCCAGTAGTCACATGTTTAGGAGATGGGCAACCAAAAGAGAGATTTAAGAGATTTGCTAACCAAAAGGACAGCGGTTCAAACCCACCAGCCACTCCTTGGAAACCCTATGGGGCAGTTCTATTCTGTCCTATAGGGTCCCTATGAGTCAGAATCGACTCAAGGGCAATGGGTTTTTTTTTTTGTTGTTGTTGTTTACTCACGTATGGCTCTTTAAATCTGAATTAAGCAAAGTGAAATAAAATTAAGAATTCACTTCTTCAGTCACATTAACCACATTTCAAGTGCTCAATAGTCACATATGGTTAGTAGCTACACAGGATAGAACATTTCCATCTTCATAGAAAATTCTATTGGACAGCACTGTTATAGATGCTGGCCATACTCCTGACCTGAGTGAAGGGTGTGTCTTGGAATTTATATTCTTAACACTCTCCCCATCTGATTCTTATGCACCATAATAAATCAAAACCCCTGTTCCAAATCCCACTGAGACTATTGGGTGTGAAAAGGGACCAGGCCAGAGAGCTGTATACCCCTAATAGTCCCTGAATCAGGAGCCAGAGGAGAAGTTGTGAGCCAGGACATCCAAAGGTCTCAGGGCCCAGTGAAAGATAAGCTAAGTTGTTAAAGTCAGAGAAGGAGCTAAACAAAGTGGGAAAGCTAAACTAAGATGTAGCAGAATAGGGTCAGGCAAGGAGCACATGAGTCCAGCTGCTAGATCTTTTGACGTGCAATGTAATGTGTAGGTAGACTCCTGCATATTCCATATCACTCCTGGGGGTGTGGGGGAAACTCACTGTGGACTGGGAATTCTTAAATATTAGGCTAAGGCATTTGCAATTATTTGGTATACAGTAAGAAGGTATTTTACATTATGATTGGGGTGTTAACTAGTAGGAGTGAAGGGATGGATGGAGTGGGAAGACCTAGACTTAGAAACTGGTGTGTAGGTGAGACTGATGACTAGAAATAGGCAAGATGAGACAGGAGACATTACAAAGGGAGAATCAACACTTTTGTTTCTGACTTGAAATTGGGAGAGAAGAGTCAGAGTTGATGCCAAGACTGAACCAGGGAGAGAGAATATTGACTATAATTTGGAGAAAAATAGGGAAATCTGAAGGGGGAAATGTTGGGGGAGGAAAGCTGGTTCTAGTAAGTTCTATACAAGTTGCTTAAGGTGATGACAGATCATACGGATGGGAAGATGAGGAGTTGGAATGGATAGATACAGATTTGAGAATAATCCACTGAAAAGTTAGAGATGTAGCTGTAACTGGGGAAGTGAGAACATAGAAGTCTCAGCCATGAAGTACATAGCCAAGTATGACCACTTTGGCAGGACGTTAAGAAGAAGCAGAGACCAGAGAGCTAAGAGAGTCAGGACTGTGTTGTCACAGATATAAAGGAGAGGGTGAGTGATAGCCCCCAGTGCTGTCGCAAGGTTAAGAACAATGATGACAATGCCTCTGCTTATGGGAGGTCCCCAAAGAGCTCTTGCCAGGGCAACTGTGGCATTTGAGCTGTGAAGTGGAACCACTGGCCATCCAAAATATGGTGCTTGTTTGGAGAGGAGGAGAAAGCTATTAAGCACGCACTCCAATGTTGGCAGGGCCTGAGTCCTGGCAGGGAGAATGTGACAACCTGCTTATTCAGAAGACGAATTCTTCAATTAGGATGGAGTCTGGATGGTTCAGAGTTCCCTGCTGGTTTCTAGGTGAGAAACAAAGGGCAAATCACAAATGGAATAAAGCTATGTGACAAAAGCTTTCAGCACCACAAGTGCCCAACTTCATAGTGGCCAGACTGGTTCTGTCACAAAGTTGAGCCCAGTTCCTGGGAAGGGATAGCATGGACTGACTAGTTCCACATGCGCCATGTCTGTAGTGAGAACTCTGCTCCAGCAGCAGGGATGTCCTGGCTGGAGGGACAGTGGTGATGAACTCTAAGCCCAATCATTTCTTATCCTTTACCCTTCTAGAGTGTGATTCTTATTAACAGTATTTTTGAAGATAGAAACATCTGTGGTGGAACCTTCAGGCCCTCCATGTCTGTTGAAGTTATTTGAAAATATCCTTTTAAGAAAAAAGAAAAACAATACACACAGGCAACAAAGATGCCCTTATTTTTATGCTGCTATTTAAAGAGTCTTCTGCCAGGCTCTGGAGCTATACCAGATGAGTGACTTTGAGAGAGGACAGGTGTTGAGCAGAAAGACATGGTGAGTGGGGACCACTCTTTGGAAAAGTTTGGCAGTAAAGGGAAGGAGAAGATAAGTATAGCCCAAGGACATAAAAAAAAAAAAAATCACATCTGAATTTCTGTTGTATATCTGGGGGAAATTGTTCCCACTGAGATATGGGACAATCCAAACTCCTGATAGTATAATTATTGCTGAGTAAGTAGGGTGACCAATCATCCCAATTTGCCTGGGACTTTCCTGGTTTTAGCACAAAACATCCCATGCCCTGGGAAACTCTTTAATCCCAAGGAAACTGGGATAGTTGGTCACCTTAGGTTGGAGCCAATTGGTCTTGTCCCCAAATGGTCAAACTAGATAATATCATTGGTTGTCTTGTGACATAAGATGTCCCATTCTCCTAGTCTTCTCAGTTCCAGTGTATAGGGACAGGATGCTTTTCCTCCATGGGTTTGTCTAACTTCCCAGACTGAGAGATTTCTCTGCATTTGGGGTGTCATAGTATCTTATTTAATCCTCACAACAACCATGTGTTGTGAGTATTACCATTTCCAGTTTACAGATAAGGACACTGAGGCACAAAGAGGGCTTCAAACTCTGTACTCCTTGCTGTGTTGTAATGTGTCCCTCAGAGACCCACAGAGACACATGTGGTCTATCCCATGATCTGGGAGAATGCAAACCCATGCCTAGAGTTTTCCAGGGGAGAGTCTCTCTTCCCCCATTTGTGGACAGAATGGTGTCCACATTTACGATCATTCCAGCTTGTAGAGGTGCAGATATTCTTCATTAGAAAGCCCCTCCATCACTATAATGCTTTTTTGTTGTCTTTCTCTGGACCACATCCCATACTGTGTTCTGTCTGGGTACAGGAAACAAGAAGAGCATCCAGATCTCATGGCTTTGCATTTCAGGGAATATAAATATGAAAGAGAAGTTTTAGGGAGTTAAATCTACAACAAAATGGGGACTCTGAGACTTAAGATTAAAACACCCGCATTTTTTAAAAGATCAAGCAGGACTAAATCAAAGCATAAGGATTAGACAAACAGAAACTCTTCAC